CCCCCGCCGCTGGGCACCAGCGCAGTGCGCAAGTGTGCGGGCACGTGTGCTCGGGCCTGTGAGCCCCCGCTGTTGGGCACCAGCGCAGTGCGCACGTGCTCGGGCATGTGCGCTCGGGCCTGTGAGCCCCCCCGCCGCTGGGCACCAGCGCAGTGCGCACGTGCGCGGCCGCGCTGCTCACCTTGGTCTTGATCTGCTTGGCCGAGTCCGTCAGGAAGATGGAGGAGTTGGGGTCACTGGCGCTCATCTTGGTCTGGGCGCCCTGCAGGGCGGGGAAGAACGTCGAGTGCAGCAGGGCCGGCTTCGGGTAGCCGATCCGGGGGGCGACGTCCCGCGTCATCCTGAAGTAGGGATCCTAGGGCACAGAGGCGGGCTGAGGACGCTGGGCCCCACAGAGCCCAGCCCGGCCGCCCAGCCCCGCCGCTGACCTGGTCGATGGCGCACGGGATGAGGCACTGGATGTCGGCCCGGCCATGGAAGATCTGCGGGAAGGAGTTGCTGAAGGAGGGCGCAGCCTGCACGGCGGGGAAACTGATCTTGCCTGCGAGCAAGGGAGGAAGGACCGAGAATCAGTGCCATTGGAGGAAGGAACAGGAAGAGCCCCCGCCCAGGGCAAAGTGCAGAAACCCGAAGGGCGCTCAAGACACTGGAGATAGGTGGAGGGCCGGGGAGATGGCTCAGTAAGGCAAGGGCCTGAGTTCAAGCCCCGATTCTGCCAAAAAAAAAAAAAAAAAGAGAGGTAAAGAGGAGAAAAACCCCACAGTCAGACCTTGTTTCTCTGCGCTCGGGTGGTGAGGAGTGTCCCTGCTGTCCCCTCCCCACCTGCCCTGTACCTCTGTGTGTACACACCCTCTCCACAGCACATTCCGCAATGCCTGGCCTGCGGCTGGATCTCTACTGTCTGTCCCTGATGGTGACCCACTCGATAGAGGCGCCCACCCCCATGCCGCAGGCTGCCACGGCCTTGTCCTCATGTTTTTATTTTTGAGACAGGGCCTCTCTATGCAGTTCAGGCTGGCCTTGAGCTTGCTATGGAGCCCGGGCTGGTCTCGAACCGGTGGAAATCCTCCTGCTTGGCCTCCTGAGCCCATGCTGTAAGACCGCCCTCTTGCCTGCCCTCTGAATGCTGACTCCACTTTAAGGAACGAAGTGCTGCCAGGCAGCACAGCTGACTCACTGCTGGATTCTGCTGACATCGTTCCGCAGCCACTTCCAAAAGGGGACAGCCACGTCCCAGGCTCGTACTGTCTCCGGGGAGGCCGGGCAGGCAGAGCTGCGCCAGCACCACCCGCAGAGCGCTTCTGGGGCTTGCGCCCCAGCAGCTCCCCATGCCAGGGGCCCAGAGCTCTGCACGAGGGCTCCTGCTGGCTGCACATAATGAGCAAGCGCTGAGCCGTGGTTCGAACAGGTCCTGGGTGGAGGGCATGCGGCTCCTCACGCTGCTGCACCCTGCACCAGGTGGCCTTCACTCTGGGATCTTCCCACTGCCCCGTCCTGACAGACCTCCAAGGATAAAACCCTTCTCCAAAGCACAGGTTCCAGTGTGTGCCAAGAACCCATTTTCCTTCTTTGATCTTAGATGACGGGAGAGAAACAACTTTGATTTTCTTGTTTTTGTTTGAGACAAGGTCTCTCTGTGTAGTTCAGGCTGACTTGAGCTCACTATGTAGTCCAGGCTGGCCTTGAGCTCAGCGACCCTCCTGCCTCAGCCTCCCGAGTACTGGGATGACAGGTGTATGTAGGACAGTTTTGCTCCTGAATTACAACTTTAAGCAGCTGCAGAGGCAGTACCCGCTGGCCAGTGCTCAACATTGCAGGATGTCCTACTCAAGAGCTCCACTGTGAAGCCTGCGGGCTGAGTTGCACCGCTTCCCTGAGACCTGAGAGGTGCCATTCTCCTCCTCCTCAGAACTCTGCTCCCCCGAGAAGGACGGCCTCGGGCGGCAGTGCCCCTTACCGATGCAGTCACTGTCGGTGAAGCCGAAGATGCCTTTCACCTGGTTGAAGGTGACGTGCTTCTGAATCTTCACCACATTCTTGTAGAAGCCTGGGCTCATCCTGCAGAGACAGACAACGGGAATCAGCCGCAGCTGGGCGGGCTCCCTCTAGGGTGGGGGAGCGGCCAGAATCCTGACGTCCTGCCGGGCATGGGGGTCCTGCCGGGCACGGGGGAGCACACCTGTAATCCCACAGCCTGGCAGCTCAGCCAGACCTGGGCTCAAAGTAAAAAATTAAAAAAGGCTGAAGACGTAGCTCGGCTTCTACTCTGGGACAAAAAAGGAACAAAACCCCGTCGCCTGGAAGTCAGAGTGGGTCGTGCGGTGGGCTGGATGCAGGCCCTGAAGCTCTTCGGTGAGACTCACTCCGTGAGACAGTCTGGCCCTACAGCTGGGGAGATTCCAGAGGAACTGGCAGGCCCAGTCAGGAGGTGGATGGTCCTTCTGGGGCAGGGCTGCCGCAGGCTGCTGTGGCTGGGTTGAGCAGCTTTGTTAGGTCAAAAACAGATTTTGAGTTAAATTCAAGGAAGAAAGGCAAAATGTTTAGAACACATTCTTTTGTTTTTGGCTGAACTGGGGATTGAACTCAGGCCCTTGGGCTTGCCAGGCAAGCGCTTATTCTACTGAGCCGTCTCCCTAGCCCCTAGAACAAATTCTTAAGAGGCTGAGATGCCAATGTTCTTAGCTCTTCTTTTTATGCTGTCAGGGATTGAAGACAGCACCTCTGCTCTAAGCTGTAATCCAACCCTTTCTACATTATTGTATTTCTTTTGGAGACAGCACTTTGCTATGTAGTCCAGGCTGGCCCAGAACTTGGGGCGATCTTCCTGCCTCAGCCTCCCGAGCGCTGGGATGACAGGTGTGTGTACCACGCCCGGCTCTCCCTAGCCCTCTTGAACTGAGGCATGGTTTTGCCAAGGTACTGAGCTGCCCAGGATGATCGCCCACTTTCAACCCTCTGACCTCAGCCCAGAGTGGCAGATTACAGGTGTGCATCATGACACCTGGCCTGTTGGTTGGCTTCCCTGTGCATCTGTAGAGTAGGAAGAGGCATTTACTGAGCGAAGGGGACTCAAGAGTCCCTAGGTCTCAGCTCCGCTGGACCTGCAGCCCGAGAGGCCCTGCCGCAAAGCCCAGCCCAGGAAGGGCTGTTGCATGCGTGGGGGAGAGGTGACCATCGGAGGCCCTGCCAGAACAAGGCAGGCGGGAGGTGCTACAGACGGAGGGGTGTCTCCATCTGCCTGTGCATTTGAGGGAACTCACTCCCAGAGGGGTTGCTCAACCGTGTTGTTTGTCCCACCCCCTTGGAGTGACAGTGACACAGGAGGAGCACAGGCTGCATCACAAGATCTGGTTGCCGAGTACAAAGTCACTGTCCCTCGCAGGCTAATGATGCAGCACTGACTGGGGCAGACACGTGAGTGGGAGACAGGCGACACCTGCATGTCGGCGAGATCCCTGGCTGGTGGGGACAAGGACATGGTGGGCTACATCGGGATGGGAAGAGGCTGCACGAAGAAAGCACCAGAAGAGGGGCATGGTGGCGCACACTTGCAATCCCAGCCAGCTGCTGTGCGCGGGGGCCTGAGGCAGCAGGGCCTTAAGTGAGAAGCCAACCGGCAGCGGCAGCGAGGCAGCAGTTACGGGGCCACAGTGGCAGCCTGGCTCCTGAGGAGGTCTGCGGGCCACAGCGAGTCTGCGCTGAGGATCAGGCAGGTGACTGAGGTCACGTTCAGGAAACAGCACCAGGAGCAGGACCGCGTTCACAAGGAGGACCTCTGTGCTCCCACAGGGCCACTGAATGGCAGGACCCGGGCCCACCCCCCGCCCTCCAAGGACACCATCATGCCGACGACTGGAAGGTCTCACGGGCAGGACACGGAGAGCAGTTGTTTTCCTAAGGGGCTGGCTGTCTCAGTGACCTTCCTCCAGTCTGTACTGGGCTGGCTCCAAGGCAGCGCGGCACTGCGGAGGCCCGGGCAGGAGGAACAGCCCATGGCAAGCATGCAGGAAGCACACAGCAGCAGCAAGTGACCACGACAGCTGCCTTTCGTTCTATTCTCTTCCGGTGTAATGGGTGCTGCGCTGCATTAACTTGAAAACTGAGAAGTTTAGGAGCTAAGCGACTCAGTGGGGACCAGGGTCCTCGCTTTGTACGCCCTGGGCTTGTGGAAGAGGAGGCGGGGAGATGGCGTAGGTGTACAGTGCGAAGGGGAGAGGAGGCGCGCTCCTCCCCCGCGGTCCTCTTGCCTGTGCTGTCCCTGCTGCCTTCAGCGCTGCCCCTTCCCACGCACCCTGCCTCGCAGTCAGCTGACTGTGGCCTGAAACCTCCAGCAACTGTGAGCTGCACACACCTTTCCTCCTTTAACTTTGGGTATCTGGTATTTTGTCTCAGCAATGAGCAAAGGAAAGGAACCGTGACACCCTGTGTCCAACAGACAGAACAAAAAAACCTCACACAATATTTTCAGAGTGAAGTATGTTGACCTGTTGAGAGGCTGAATTATGCCACCTGTGGTGGCATATGCCTGTAATCTCAGCACTCAGGAGGCTGAGGCAGGAGGATACCTATTTGTTTGAGGCTGCCTGGGCTACATAAGTGACTTTAGTGGCAGCTTGAACTGCACAGTGAGACCGTGTCAAAAAATACCAAAACAAAACACTCCAAAAAAGGCTGAATTAAAAACCTGGATTATCAGCTTGGTGTGGTGGTGTAGGATTATATAGCCCCAGCATTTGAGAGGAAGCCACCGTAAATTACACAGCAAGACTGTCTCAAAAAACACGACACAGCAGGGCTGGCCAAAAAGCTCAGTGGAGGGCTGGGGAGATGGCTCAGTGGTCTAAAGCACCTACTTGGAACAAACTAAGCTAAGCAAAGCACAGGGACCGTGGTTCAGTCCCCAGCACCACGTGCCAGCCAGCCCCGCCCCCTGGTGGGCTGAGCTGGCCACACACACACACACAAAATAAATAAATAAATAAATACATAAA